AACAACACAAACAACACAAACAATACAAACAACACACACACACACGTGCACACAACACACACACACAACACACACACACAACACACACAAACACACACACACACACACACACACCCACCCACGCACGCACGCACACGCGCACACGCGCACACACACACACACTGACTGACTGAGCATGAGATGCCTAAACTTTACTCGGACAGAAAGCGGAAGAATACACTGACAATAGCCAGCAGCAGTGCGTGAACGGCAACCATGCGGTGATTTACTTGCCAGCTCGCAGAACGCCTTGAAAGCCCTGTTTTCGTTTCCTTAAGTGAAAGCTTGTACATCATATCAGAATCATATCAGAATCATATCTGTGATCGGTAGCAGCACGTACTGTTGCTGTTCAAACGGGTGTTGTGAGACATGATTTATTGGATCTTGGCAGCCATGTTACATGGTTGTTCCAGTAGGAGATTCAGCACTGCTGGGCGGCAGCAAGAGAGCACAGATCAGTGCCTGGTTGCCTCTTGAACTCTGAACTGCCGGGCTTAGAGCCTCATGTGAGACGTCTGGTCGAAAGGAGTAGGTAGCCAGGCGAATACGAAGGAGCAGCAGGGCCTGTACCTTCACAGCAAAACTTCTCTCAAGTGACTCTTGTGTAGCATCTGTTGGATCTGCATGCAGGTTCTATGATCGCAGGAAGCAGTTTCATGAGGAGTACGTCCATGCCTCAGAAGAAGCCTTTGCAGACAAAGTGTGCGGCCCCTGCTCACCCTCCCCCACGCAGGTCCGGAAAAGATTTTTGTTGGGCAAGCAAGAAGAAGAGTGATGTCGCACGGTCCAGAGGGCAGTGCCGTACGAGTAGGTCCCGGTGGGCATTTCTTCCACATCTGCCGTTGGTGCTGTCTGTTTCACAATGTTCTAGATAATGCGGGAAGCGTCTTGCAGCACTTGCCCCCACTCGAAGTCGATGCAGCAGCCGAAAAAGCAAAGTCGCTTCGGTACGAAAGCTTGGGCATGTGAGGTTGCTTGGCGTATTCGCATTCTTGTCCGTGTCATGGAAATCGCTCCCTGTGTTTGCTCACTAGGCGTTGAAGAATCGCTAGCCTGAAGCCAGCACTTAGCATCTGGCCCTGCCCTAAGCTTTGCGGTTCACAACCCCGACTCAGCCCAAACCTTGGACAGATCCCCGCCAGAACTGTGTTGAGTCGGGCTTTGCACTTGAGAGGTAGCCCCGCCACGAACCACCTACTCCTACCACACCCACCACGGAGCAAGAACTGCTTACGTTAGGGTGACATCAGCATGGCAGCTGCCCCATATGAGGCAGTGCTTGGTAAGCTTCATACACCTATCTTCAGGGAAGTCAGGTCATGTTGCCTTGCAGGTGCCAGGTGTGGATCAAACTCCGAGGACAGCCGATGCCTTACAGAGCCGACGGCATGTTGATGCGAAATGATGCGCAGTGCATCTTTCCCAGGACCAGAATTTTGAGACATTGCTTTCCGAGGTTGTTCTGGAACTGACGCCTGAAGTAGAGAGTGCTGCGGTTGGGACACAGGCCGAGATCCGCAAGGAGTGCATAGTACCATCGTGCCAGTTTATGTCTCACAACATTAGCAGAATGCGGCTCACCCGCTGAGATTTGAAACTCGCAGCAAAGGCCTCAGCTGGAGCAGAAAGCCAGCCTGCAGAAGGCTCTGAACGCTAGGTTGCCCATGATCAGCGATTAGTATCTAGGCGTTTGGGACCACATTGCAGGAACTCTTGTTCTGCGCTTCCATGCGTTTGCACTTGCGGAGCGTTCGACAGGGCTAGGTGAAGCTCATGGCAGCTCCTCATCTGTGAGGCCACGTTCCGACACTACTGCCAGAAACATGGTTGTGGTCATGCGGCACTCTTTGATTTTTGGTAGGACCGGGCATGTTTCTACAGTGCCAGAGGTCGGGCCAAAGAAGGGCATGTTCTTTGATGACACTCCAGCCGAGCATCTCAATTCTCCCTTCTCGCTGTTTGACCATGTCAGGGCAAAGGTCCCCTGTACAAGTGTGCAATCTGCGCGGTTCGGATCTGAGGGCCGTCGCAATGTAACGGCTTCGATATAGTCGGACTGAGGAATTTGTCTACGAGTCGCAGCTGGAGTACCATGCCGCCTAGCTAAAAACCATGGAGCAGCTGCAAAAAGCCTTGCACCCGAGAGCAGTCGAAGAAACTTTTCGACAGCGCTGAGGTTACCATTTGCCCAGACCCAAACGACAGTAGCTCCTTACTGTCCACGCCTGGCGCAGAGCAGCCTGCTGCACCCTTAGCACCAAAGCCTGTGAGTAAATAGCTGCATGCCGACAGCGTAACCATGCTGATGACCCAATCACTTTCTTGCATTGTGCCACGCCGTGATGAACCAGGTGATTGCTGAGCCAGATGTCGTCGCCTTGTTTCAGAAATTCGTAGGAGCTGTGATCTGATCAGCGCTTACAGAGGCCGCTCGTTTAAGAGCTTCCTCGCTGAAGTGTGTAGCCGTGAGGCCTTCTCGTTTGAGAAATATCGTGCCATCCGCAGCCTCTCTTGCACAAGCTGGCACCGGCTCCGAAATCCAGCAATGCTGCGGCTGCGGCATGCGCATCTTGCAGGCGCGGAGGGGCGCAGAAGGTCGCAGGTCATTCTTTTCGGACGGCGCCTGCGTTCCAAGGATCGCATTGATCAAGTGGTCGGTCCGACGATCTGCATGGACTGCTTTAGCAGCAGATTCATCAGGAAGACAACAAGCATTGAAAGCTATGCGATCAAAACTGCGAGAAATCGTGCGAAATTTGGCGAGATGATGGATCATATCTATCCGACTCGCAGCAGCCGTGGCCGGAGCCCGCGCCTGAAGTACCCGGACAGCCGCGGCACCTGAGGGCAAATCGTAGGCTATGGTGCCTTCGTACGTGGACGATCGTGGACGTCTAGGAGGGTCTCGGCACTTCTACATGTGATCCACAAAGGCATTGAATTATTTCATGGATGATGGTCCAGGACGGTCATGCTTGCGAGCTTGGGGAAGTAGGATGCGGTCAGGCCGGCGCTACTTGCGTGCTGCAGCTGCGCAGGCGCAGCGAGGCGTCCTCTTTGATTTTGAGTGCTTTGCGGACAGGAACCTGCCGATGTCCACAGGTGACAGCCGTCGTATGCAGTCCGGCAAGTGCAAGGACCTCACCTTCGAAGAATGCTTGGCCCAGCATCCCAGGCATATGCAATCTGAAGTCATAGGAACAGGTACATCACTGGCCCCGTTTGGCCCTGGTGTAGAGACAAGGTAGGATAGGGAAGGAGGGCATGCGCAGATTTCCAAACAAGCACAGCTCAACCCTGCCAAGCTTAGCCGGTCAGCGTGAAGTTGAATCTCTTCGCATTCTTGGCTCTTTGCTGCCAGTTACTGCTCCTGGGTGTTGGCACGTGGCGACAAGCTGAGCACGGCCGAGTACGGCGACTTTCTGAACTTCTTGCGCAAACGCACGCAGGTCTGATGGTCCTGTCCCTGTCGCTCTATTCTCTGGCTTGGCACAAGTGCTTACGCGACGTGCGTGTTCAAGTGTAAAGAGAGTACCCGCGTTGGCGCTGCGTGTGAATGCTGTAATAATCGCTAACTCGCTAGCAACGCAGTCTAGGAGGTCGTCCTGTCAGCGCGATGATGAAGTGAGGAGGTCGTCCTGTGCCGTTGCTTTTCCAGTTGGCAAGTTGCGTTCTGTAGGCCAAACAAAGCCACGCTGTGGAGCACGATCGCTGATCATTTTGCAACAGGCAATGCCCACACGATATGAAAATGGCGGCAAGGGTAGTTGGCGATGCGGTGTCTGGGAAGAAAAGAAGGTGAAGAAAAATGCAAGTCCGATTCCGGGCCTTTTGATTCCGAAGGCACGGAATCTTCTGCTCTGTTTGAAGTGAGTTCCCACTTGGTATCAGGCTTGATCTCACCAAAAGCTAGCTCTGCGGAGTTTGCCGGAGTTGTCGTTTAACAACTCAGTAGTAGGCAATTGGGTCAAAAACGCATTAAGTTCCTAATCAGGTATTTAAGCTGCATGGGATGAAGGGGAAAAGCCTGAGACCGTGTTCGCTGTTGCAACTGTGTCTAGTCACGACTTTGTCGATTCGCTTCGGATGGAGCCGCTGGAGTGTTGACCTCCGAGGTGTGAGGTGTCATGCATACACTGATGAATCGAACGCGGTGGTTACAAGTCTCCCCATCCTGTGGAATGACTGGCTAGGATGCTTCCAGATTTGAAGGGCTTTGCTGTTCGCACTTGCCACAGTTTCTTTGGCGACTGCTGATGGTGGAACATATCTTCGTTGGCAGGAAGCTCCAGCAGATCCTCAGCCCGCGCATTCAGGCAAGAAAGCTGTGCTCCAACCGCCTACGCTTGCCACGCTTTCGGGTAGTGGACGACGTTTCGTTTCGGTTGTTTTGCCTTGTGCATGTTGAGGTCTAGAAAGAGGAGGGAGGGAGGAACTGCTGCAAACTCCTTTCTTGTTGCGGGTAAGCTTGCGCAGCTGCCGAGGGTCTGAGCGGGCATTTGGGCGCTGGCAAGTTTTCTCTAGGGTCGCTTGAATCGTCCACGACCGATCAGACCAGTCGGATGCACATCAGCTGCTCAAAGCCGAGGCTTCATGCCGACTGGCCCCAGCATATCAACTGCAGAATGTACAACAGCAAACCAAGGGCGGCAAAGCGCCTCCTTGCACCTGCAAGCTCGACCCAAGATAACCAATTCAAGCCTGCAGTGGCTCCACTGTCTTGCATTTCCATTTTGACTGTTTCAACCCTTCATGAGCACTGCTGGTGGACCGGACTGCCCACTTTACTACTTTACCCTCCAGCTTCGCTGCGGAAGCACGCAATCTCACTCTGGAGAAGACGGGCTTATCGGCTTATCTTGTGCGCTGGCCCCGAAATAGTGCTGTAGCGCCAGCACGACTACATAATATTGGGACGCAAAGCTCGATTCGAAGGCGTTTGTGAAGATGTGAGCATGTAAAGCTAGAACAACCTTCCGTAGCAGACTCGTGACTAGGTGACACTCCAAGAAGGTTTGTCCCTGCCGGTTGCCGGCTCCTCCTTTCCGGTTCCTGCCTAGGCTTCGCCCTGAAGGGATTCTCTTATGGTGTCGTGTGCCTTGCAGGTCTGGATAGCTACCTTTGGACTTTGGTGACTCTCCTTCATAGTGCTGATTTAGAGAGCTTGACGGAGGGCTCTTTCTCCAACACCCAGTTGAAACTCAAGATCTCAATTTCTGGTGAACAACGTTTACATCGTGTTTTCAGCTCCAACTTAACAGCGGATCGCTTGATTCGTGGTTGTGTGAAGTGTGTGCAGGAATCTTGTGGAGCTAACAAGCCCGACGTGCCTGTTCTGGCACTTTCCTCTTCAGGCGGGGGCAACGACTCGGCCCTGACGGAGTCAGACCACGCCCTGAACCCAGACACCAACTTAGAGTGTTTGAGCCGCAGGCTAGGTGAGCCTGAGGTCCCAGATCCGCGAGATCAAAACAAAGTTGGCTTTGGCAAGCTTTCCCGACACTTTTGCGATTTCCTGCCCTGCTCTGTTACTTTAGCTTTGCCCCGTACAATGTGCAGAGAACAGTGCGAACAGCACGAAAAGCCGAAGTCTGCCTGGAACCCGATGGCAGGCACAAAGACCTGACCTACGCAGAGCTGCTCTCAAAGCAGCCTGCGTGTGCACCCCAGTTTCTGGACTTTCTGTGCATCTGGGATCATGTGGGTCTCAAGCACGGCCTCAAGGTATTGCCTCTGGGTACAGCAGGCTGCTGCACAAGGGGACAAGGCGCGGCTGTCGCACGCCGTCGCCATGATTTCTTTGAGATCGCTGGCGAGGCCGGCGCAGGCATGCGTGCTTTTGCCGAGTACCTGGAAGGAGCTGACGTTTAATGAATGCCAGGCATTGTCCCAGAAATGTCTCATCCATTGCAGGAAAGACCATTGCGGCAGCTTCGAATCCACAGCGCAAGACTTGGGCTGGAACAGCTCCTCGTCAAGAATGGCGGGAAGCGACCGAGCCACGGGTTCTTCAAAATCGCGGATGCAGGCGAGTGCCAAAGCTTCCCCTGCTAGCACAAACCTCACGCCAAGCACTGGCAGGACTGCGCTCATGCTACAACTGTCTTCTGCCTGCACGTGCTGCAAGTTTGCAGGGGGACATTAGCAGACGGCAGTTGGCGTGTCAACTTCGGCAAGTGCGCTGATGCTAGACATTCTCAATTCTTAGAAGCGTCGTGGCATTGTGAGTCGGCAGATTTCAGGTACAAGGGTTCCTCGTTTTCGGAGGCCCTGCACCTGAAGCCTTGGTAACTTCAAGGCACTTTCGCTGTCCTGGGGTCTTGGAAGGTATACACGAAAGATCCTCAGTATTGTGAGTTCATTACCAACTCGGTCCTCCTCGCAGATGATCAGGGCAAGGCGTGGGCCGTGCCGTGCTCACTCGCATGCTTTTCTCGCTGCCCTTCTGGTGAAGGCCCCGTCCAGAGACGCCTTGGCCTTCACAGCCTACATTCAGCATCGAGCCAGACAAGAGGAAACCGCATCTGAATAGAGTCGAGGCGGTGCTCAGCAGCTCGAACTACATCTTGCGACTGCTTCATTGATGAGCATCCGCCAAGACTTGTTTCGCACCTAGGATCACTAGGCATTTTTTTTAAAGAGGTGAAGCAAGGGGTGATTGCGGGGCATCAAAAACCGCATCTTGTTGCACCGCAATGATCTGTCCTTGATCGAGTTGTGCGGACTACCTGTCGTGGCCAACATTAACATACGAGCACTCTGACGCTAGGGAACAGCAGCGTTTCAACATGATATAGCACGATCGATCATCGATGCATCCCCGGATCAGACGAATAGATACAGAAAAGAGAGAAGGCTGCTCTCGCTCTCCCGAGTTCGGTGAACGAGAGAGAGAGGCGGAGAGACAGAGGGAATGCCAAGGAAGTGAGTGCAATGTTCCAACCCCTCGGAAAGGGGATATGATTGCTCGGTCTCTCATCGCTCTTTCTTAGCTGAGGGTTTGCCGATGGTTATGCGAGGCCCTGAGTGCCCCTTACGTATACTGAGAGACCGCAGCATCTGTAATCCGTACGAAGCACATACAGGTTCTTGGGAGCGTTGTGGTATCGCACGACTCAACACGGGGGGACCCCAACTCATACTTTCCTACACAGGGATGCCCTTAGGTCTGTCAACATCGCTGTGCCCTTGTTTTCCTACAAGCGAAGTGGGGGACCCCCAACATGCAGAGTAGGCCTCGCTGTACCAAATAGTGAAAACTTTAGAATGGTGGAGTTTTACTCGTTCTAGTCTTTCTTGGTCAGGTGTTGATCATGGTTGCTGGGGGGGGCTTAAACCGCCTCCCATGCCCTGGCGAAGACAGAGGGAGAGCGAGAGCGAGAGAAAACCGCGTACAGACACCCCAGCCAACAACATGTTGGAGGGGGTGCGCCTTGAGCGCGGGGTGTGGGGTCTGCCCACACCCCATCCCCGAAGCAAAGCAAAGCAAAGAGAGCCAGAGAGAAGCAAATTGCCCGGGGGCCTAACACGCCCCGCATGCCTGGGAGAGTACCAGCTGGATCGTGACGGATTTTGGGCCTTTTTGGGGAAGTTGAAGTGTTTAACTAGGTACTCCGCAGCAGACCCGCCGGACAGCCGGCAAATCCATAGCTTTCCAAGGGAGGTCCACATCGATGCAGTCATGAGCGTTGTTGTGTTTTTTTTCGTGGGCGGGGCAAATAGAGGCCCGATCGGGGGAACATCGGTGCAAGGGAACGCAGGATGGGGGCTGAGAGATGTGAGGATCCCTCTAGTGTGATGTACCTCGAATTTGTTGCTTCCAAGGTTTAGCTCAGCTCCGCAGTTAAAGCAGTGCGCGGTTTGCGTCCCGTTTCTTCACTTCAAGATGGGGTGCGCACTCTCGGGGAGAGAAAGAAGGAGAGGGAGGCTCTCTGTTGATGGGGCCTAAAGTGGAGCACCGAATGTCGTGCCCAGCACCCATCGAGATATTCGTGCACCTTCTTGAAGGGGCATGCTTCGCATAGCAGCCTGTGCCTTGCTTGATATGTCGCCGACTTAGGCTCCTGCGCAGGAGGAGACTTACGACCTGTACCGCGACGAGGCATATCCATCGTTTCCTGAAGTTATTGCTCTGTCTTTCTTGCTTTAGTGTTGCGCAATATTGCTGGTTTGGTGGAGTAGTCGTGGCAGGTCTTGCGAGAAAGCCTGGCGGTCAGTCTTGGCCTTTGCCTCGTCTCATCTTCATAAGTTGCCACCGTCCTGCCTGGTAAGGTGAAGCATCTCAGCGAATGTGGGCGCAATGGTCAAAGGAGCTTGCACTTCCGATCTTGCTCATGTCGGAATCCGTGCAATGTCGTTCTAGAGTCAAGATGATGAGGACAGCAAGTTGGCTGAGCACCACAACGTGATGGTGCAACGTTCCTCACAGAAGTGGCTCAGCTCAACTTTAGGCCCTTAGGCAAGACGGGGCGCAACCGTTGTCTCTGTAGTACACCTTGCTGAGGCGCAACCAGCTCCTAGACGAGCTGCGAAAAAAAGAGGCAGAGGTGCCCCGGGTCACAGCGATCTTCAGCTCTCAGGCTTGTGTTTTGGCATCGACAGGAGTGCACCTTCCAGCCCAAGACGTTGTCGCGAGGAAGCCCCAGGACGTTTTCTCGCCCGGACACAACAGGCAGGTCTTGAACGTGCGCCATGCATTATCTGAACTTCCTTGCTCGAATTGGCTGGCGGTTCATGTCAGAGTCGGGAGGGGGACAACAAGGAAGGCAGGAAGGGCGGGTGGACACCAGCTGCGAACATGCAACATCTCATGCTGCAATGTTCGAAGCATCAAGAGTAACACATCGCATCTGATGCGCATATCTCTTAAATGAGCAACTCCCTGCTCCCACCCCGACATTTGTACCACGCTCTGTGAAAATCAGAGCTCCTTTTCGCTTGCTCCACTATTCATGATGGCATCTTTCTTTCTCTACCTTCTTCCTTCTGTGAGCAGTGAAGCAGAATACGCAACTGCTTTTGCATTTGGGTCTGATGATTTCCGAGTAAGTGGTGCCACTCTGTATCACGCCTATTGGATCAGTACTGCAGCCATCTCACCACTCACGAACATCAGTTACATCAGGCTTCGCTATGCGTGGAATAACACGGCGGCACGGCTAGGAGGTAAGAGCCGGCAAGCAAAAGATGTGAGTTCGGATTGCGACTAAGTGAAGGTAGCTTCAAAAGCTTGCAGATTGTAGATGTGCTTTTGTGGTTTCAGACAAGTAGAGTTTTCGTCATAAAATTCAGACGATGGCAGACATGATCTCAGTTTTGACAGAACCAGCAGGAAATACTTAGACAAGGAGAGACATGTTGTTGTCTCGGGACAGCAGGCGGTTAGCTTTTGCATCTTTTGGCAATCGGAGCATCATTCTCTCCGTAGGGGAGTTGGCAGGGAGGCAGGGAGGGTCGGCGACATGTTCGTTTTGAAAGACATTCAGTGCATGAGATGGGTAAGACGCGCAGAACTGAGATGTGATTGCCCATTCTGAGACAAGGGTGTGAGATGCAGGTGCTGGGAGATCTGATTTGGCTTCATCAGATTGGGCCTGGGGACATGCTACCGTTCCAGGAGACTGACAAGTATGGGCTACTGTTCCAACAGCAAGGCTAAGGCACGTTCTTGCCTAACAAGAGTCAACAGGAATGACAGAAATGATGTTGTAAAGTGCGGAGTAAATCATATTAAATCGTGCTGATCCTGCAAGATAAGCCAATGAGTGTCAAGAACAGGCAAACGTGCTTCGGGAACTGAGGGAACTGGGTCAGAGGCGGGACGCATTTCTTCGCAGAAGTCAGACAAAATCCAGCAACAAGGATCGAGTAAAAAATTCATATGCGCATGATCACATCTGTGAAGCTTCAAGGGCAAGCTCCAGCAGAGGGCACTCGTAGTCGCTCACTCATTTTGCCACCAGGTGAAGTAAAGTGGGAGCAGCGTGACTGACTGAGTTTCCTTAGATATGGTTTCAGACGTGCCCATGGATTTTGCCATGTTTTTTTGTGAAGCATCGACCAAGAGGCTTGGATCAGCGAAAGAGAGATCAGCGTTTAAAGCAGGTGGAGGCAAGAAGCATTTGCATTGGATGGAAAGATATTGAAAGTTTTCGATGAATGCTTGTCTTTGGAGCCTCGAGGCACAGCACTATGCAGAACTCACTTTAAAGCCCAAGATCAGCCCTTTTGCGCAGGCTGGGGAGGGGGGGTAGCAAGTGTTCAGGAACTCCTTGAATGATGTGTGCCGTAGGCGTGGAGTCAGAAGCAGGCAGAGGCCAGTGCATGCTAACGAGTGCCAGTTCAGTTGGACATTTGGAAAGGATTGTCCAAAGAGTGCTTCTACCTGGAAGGCAGTTCGTGAAAGCCCGAGCACGAACAGTGTGTTCGAACGTCTCTACCAGGCAGCTTTGCAACAGGCCAGCAGTTTCGCTCTGGGCTTCACTGTGTAAGTCTCGAGGATAGGGCCCTGGTTCTCTAAGAATTTGCACGGTGGCACCGACACGAGGAGGAGAAGCAAACGGCCGCCAAAAGAGAACGAGACTCCGACCAGGCCGGGGATGAAACGAAACCGCAGCTACTGCAGCTACTGCAGCTTCGAGAATCACCGGTGCCGGGAGGCCGAATGCCTTTCTCCACCTCCGCCCATCAGCAACCGCAGCTCGCCTCCACGAAGGCCATGCGGCGACAGGCTTATCGAGCCTGGTGTTCTTGGATTATGCATCTCTTGACTCAGCTACACCTCTGCCTGCATCCCCCTAAGCAGATTACGTCCGATGTTCATGATGCCCACTTCATCGAAGGTGACCTGTTGCTCTGGCGATTGAATGTAGTGTTGTAGTGCTGATGCGGTTTGGCCAGCAGGATTCCCACTTCCGAGCTTCTCTACAGCGATGCTTTAGACCGCCGCGAGAGGCTTCGCATCATGACGGACCGAACTCCGATCGGTGCCGGAAGATGGATTTCAGCTTGTGAATTCTTAGAAGCGGAAGTTTGCTACAGGAGCAAATGCAGCTGCGGCGCGAAGAGGAAACAAAGGAGCACTGCGCAGCACCGCCCCAAGTCTGTCGATGACACTTCCCGCATGCAGTTTCCGACCCCTTCCATATGAATCAAGCAAGGAAGTGAATAAACAGGTTTTCACAGATTTAACTCCGGAGTTGCGGTGAGTTTAACTCTAAAACCCATTCCCCCCTCGTGCTGTTGTTTAATCACAGGAAGGCCTCAGCCGCAAACTACTGCTGGTTCTGGATTTCGAGTTCGAGCTCACTGGTTCACTGTGGGATTAGCTCCGGAATCCTTCATGCGGCTTCCTCTTTACAGTTTATAGAGTTTTTGTGCACTGGCACACAATTCGCTTTGGCTGCGTCCATTCTTGAATTTATCATGTGGTTCAGAACCCTCCACTTCCCTGCCACGGTCCCGAAAGCCGACGGTGGCAATCGAAGCACTAGCTTGTGATATTTGTTGGCATAATGACGCGATCGATCCCAAAGCTTTCGGTCAGTGGCCTGTTCTTTCGTTTTCGTTCTCACAGTTTTACCATTCTCGACGACAAGGCAACGCATTACACGCTGCTTGTTTCCTTTGTTTTCCTTTTTGTTTTCAGTTTCACGTTTCATCACGTACCTTCAGTTGCTGTTAGTCTTTTCGCTCCGGAGGTGCTGTGGATGCAGAGGTGCAAACTTAGCGAGTGTAAATTACAGCATTCCTGACAGCTGAAATAGGACGAGAAATCATCAATAGAACAAGGTCAACTACATTCATCACAATGGCCGGCGAAATCCGCAACTTCTTGCAAGCTGTGCATGAACCAACAAGTGAACGTTATTAGATCGTTCTGTTTTTGCAGGCCAGGAGAGCATATATTGCGCTGTGCGAATTCATGGCATCCAGCATTTGCCCGTGGATCGTCGACAGCAACACCAAGCATTTGGGGGGGAAAGCCCCGGGGAAAGCATTCTGGCCGCGCTCCCGAATCCACCTGAATCCCGCCAGTACTTAGATGAAAGCAAAGCAGGCCGTGGTTCGGAGTGCGCCGGCACCTGCTGTTCTCCTGGTGATCTTTTGGGGTTCTTGTCGTGCTGTTGGGGGTCATGTTGGTCTTCTGAGGTCTCCTGGTGATCATACGGTGGTTTCTTCATGATCTCCCGGCGTTCTTTGGATGCTGTACTGTTGTCGCTGGGTGGTTTCTTCGTGGTCTCTTGGTTGTTTCTTGGTGGTCTCGTGGTGCTCTTTCAGTGGTCTCCTGGTCGTGGTGGTCTTCCGTGACGGATACCTCACAACGTGAGCCTGTGGAATTCTGGGGTGGGGCAGGGGTGGGGCCCTGAGTTTTGCATTTTTTTTGAGAATCGTGTTGCCGCGTTCGGCAGGGTTTCGGCAGGAGAAGCGAGCTTCTTCTGATGCTGCTGATACTGGTCGAAGGATCTGATGTTGGCTCGGACAGTGACTGTTCCGTTGAGGGGCATTTGTGCGTCACACTTGTCTCGGTGGCATCGACAATGCGCATTGGCTTGAACGATGAAAAGTAATTACGGGTGGGCTGCATGCTGGCCTGATTGCGTGTCGTCTGGGTCTCCCGGTTCTGTGTTACCAGCCCTATCCATCATAGAGCTTTCGTCCCAGTCCGTGGCTCTCAAGTTGTTGTCCTCAGTCGTCGTGGTCGCGTCGTAGTGTTCGTCGTGGGTGGTCTCCTGGTGGTCTGCTGGTGGTCTCCTGGGGGCTTGTTGGTGGTCTCCTTGTGGTGTGCTGGGGTTCTCCTGAGGTCTCGTGATGTGCTGTTGGTGGGCTCTTCGGGGGTCGAGCATACATGTAGTTCGTGGAATGGTCCGCTGGTGGCCAGGTGCAGATGCGAACCAACAGCATGGTCCCTCGTACACCTTCCTGGAACCAGATCCCGAAGGCTGCTGGAGCCCGGCGCCCTCCCAACCCCATTTTGTTCGAGTACAAATGTAGTGTGCGGTCTGCTTCCCGAGGGCTCTTGGAGCTCTGGGGCTTCCAAACTTGTTTTTCGGGTACTCCAAACTTGTGTTTTCGAGTGCAAAGTTCGCATGTGACAGTAGCGGGCCGACAGCCCTGTGGGTGATGACGGCGGCGTTGGCATGGAGGAAATGCTGGTAAAACAGAGGGCACCTAGTTGTGCCCTGTATGTATGTATGTATGTATGTATGTATGTATGTATGTCTGTATGTCTGTAGGTCTGTATGTCTGTATGTCTGTATGTCTGTATGTCTGTATGTCTGTATGTCTGTATGTCTGTATGTATGTATGTATGTATGTATGTATGTATACCATTTAGCACTTCAGGCCAGTTCGCATGTGACAGTAACGAATCACCGGCCCGGGGGGTGATGACTGTGGCGAGGCAATTGCGTGACATGGCGGAAATGCTGCAAAACACAGATGGCAACTAGTCGCGACCTGTGTTTTTCTGAAGCAATACAGGCCCCTTCGAGTGTAACAGTAGTGAACCCGCCGCCCGGTTCATGATGACTGTGGTGAACCAGTGGCATGGTCCGCCTGCGCCTTCCTGGAAGCAAGTCGGCATGCCCCTCCTAGCACGGAAGCCATGAGCATAAAGGCCGGCATGGCATGGTGTACAGGCTGCAAAGACACAGCGCCTTGTATTTTGCATAGGAACGCCTGGAATGCAGACGGGCGCACACACACTTGTGCAATCCTCCCTCTGACTTGGCCTTGTCTCCTGTTTCTTATTTGCAGAGGTAAAGATCTTGAGCCACATAGGCGGTTAAACTGAAACAGCTCTGAAAATGACGACGCCATCCACGTGCGCCACAGCAGGTAGTTTACACCGATTTACCCCTTTCCAGGGGCATCTTTGTTGGCAGGAGTCCTCCAAAAAAACCTCCTGCCCCCTGCCTGCAAACGAAACATGCGAAGCACAGCCCTTGGCAGCAGGGTTTCCCCCCCCACACACACATACACATGCACACATAGCAGTATGCATCACATGGATTCGCGCGAAAATTGGTTTACCACCGCCCGCGGTTTGCGCTGCGCTAAGTGTGACATCATTGTCATGTCTTCCTTTCTTCCTCTGCGTCCACTTCTTCCATCAACAGGGAACGCAACCAAATTATTTGGGCAGTGTTTGGGCCTGGAGGACATGTTGCACACAGCTTGAGCTGCATGCACCCGGTGGGGCAGACAAGTTCAGATGCGCGATCCATCGAGGTGCTTTACAAGTCGAGCAGATTGTACTATCAGCTCATCGAGAAGCAAATCAAGGTGGCGGTGACTTCAATTTCGATGAGATGCCTAAGCTTGAACAAGCTCTTAACAGGCAGCGTTCGATGGAGCAACCAATGGGCAAGCACAGCTTGCTCAAGCATCTTTGGAGGACCAAGCTGAAGAGGCATGCAAGCGTGTCAGACCTGACAAATGGTTGGCGCCTTTTTTCAATTTCACGTTTAACTACAAGTGTGACTTTGCTACAAGTTTCCCGGGAAAGGACTTCCTGGTGCGCTTCAAATGCATGAGGCCAAGGAAGAACGGAGAGGCCTCTTCTTGCGTTGCCTGAGGATCTGTTCGAAATCCGCCCTTGCTACGGCTAATGTAGTGTGAGCATCGCTGTGTGAATGACTGAGTGGTTGTGGTGAAGCTGATTGTCTTTGTTGTCTTCTTCCAGTTCTTCTTTGTCGTCGTTGTTGTTGTCGGGGTTGCGACATGATGCTACAAGTACAGAAGTGGCGGTGACGCGACACACAGCAGGTGTTGGGCTCGGGCTCAAGCTTAGCTGCGGCAGGGTTGTTCCACTCTGCCCTTTGATTGGTGTGGCTTCCGATCCACTGGAGTTTGCCATGGCTGTCAGTATCTTACAAGTGCTGTTGGCCGCTGTGCCCTTATTTCGTGCCTAGCCGGCGTCAGGTGATCAGCAAAATAGCGTCCACCAAGAGCCGCACTCCTGCCACAGCGGCAGGTCCTGGTTCGGCAGCACAGATGTCTACTCTTGAGACTGTGCAGTAGCCATCGTGCTGGCTAGCAGCTAGCATTGGAGGCGTGGCGGCGGCTCTCCTTCTGGCCCCTACCTTCTTGGCCCCTCAAGAGGTCCCGCGACAAGCAGCGGCAGGAGACTTATCCATGGTGTTTTGTTGCTTGAGGGATATTTCTTGACATGTGCTGGCAGTTCCAGTCCAGTGAGCAGGTGCGCCATTCCCGAGCTGGCAGCAATGCCGCGCGCGGCACTGAAACCTTCGCAGCTGTTGGCACGGTCAGTGCTACTGCTGCCACGGCTGGGGCAGTTGCAGCTGCCAGCTCTAGTGACTGAGCTGATTGCAGCAGGTCGGTGCTTTGGCTTGAACGGTCAACTCGACTCAGGCAGAAAAGCGATTTCCAGGGGTGCAATGCCCCGGCACTCCAAATCGAAGCAGCAGAAGGACGAGGAATTGATGACTCTAACCTTGCCGCATGCAGATGCACAATATGCAAATCCGGATATTTCCCTGGGCCAGGAATTTCCCACGCGCTTCTCGCATCTGATCTCTATGGCGCATGCGCTTCTGCAGAGACCAATGCCAGGCGGATGGTTCGTTCTGGTTCATAGTGGTACTGGGTGAGATTGCTGGAAACGTTTGTGCAAGAGCACTTGTGCATAGCGGCATAGCCTTCGTCGCACTGGCTACTCGCTGCAGATGAGCTGCGGAAGCTGGTGAAAGAGCTCCAGCTTTTAGCGGCAGCCGAGCTCAGCGGTTCCATGACGCGATCAGCTTCCGTGGCTAGTGCCTTTGCAGAGGTAGCAGGGGCCGAGGCGAGATACGTTTCACATTGCCTGCCGCATCTCTGTGCGACTTGAGCCGACAGGAGGCCTCGCGTTCGAGTACCGACGGGCAGCTTCGCTGGGCAGCCAGTGCAGCTGCATCTCTTCTGTTGACCTATACGGTCACCTTGCAGCCCCTCGCCACCGAAGGTCGCCCTGTCTGGCGACAGGCGGTTTTCCTGGCGATGCCCTTCAAGCAACCGAGGCCGGCGAATGCGGCGGACGAGGTGAACTACTCGGACTTCCTAGAATCGGTCAAGAAGGGAGATGTGGAAATGGTGCGTGTGCAGAACGACATGCTCTCGGCACAGTATACAACGAAGGACGGTGTGAAGTCGAAAGTCACTCCGTTGCGACCCTTCCCGCGGCTTTGCCATCGATCTTTGAGCTTCTCAGGATGGCGCCAGACGGGATGTGAACTTGATTCCCAATGCTCAGATCGAGGATGAGCTCTTCAACACTTTGGCAGAAAAGAAGGTCGACGTAGTGCCTCGGCTCAAGTCTCCGATGTCGCTCCTTCACACTCGTAGCCACAGCCATTCTGCGACTGCGAATTGTGTCAGGTCATGCAAAATTCTAACGCTGGCGGTTCTCCGTTCGATTTCCTCGCACGGTTTGCCGGTCCCATTGCCTGGCTGATTGCCGGCCTGCTTCTTTTGTTCGGAGGCCTGCCATTTGGAGGCAGGGCTGCTCGACTCGGTAGTGCTCTCATTGTGTCTGTGATCAGACAGGTCCTGCGGGGCCTGGAGGCCCTGGAGGCAACCCCTTCGAGCTTGGAAAGTCCAAAGCCCGCATCATCAAGGACGTGTCAGCGGTCGGGATTCCTCTCCTTCGAGCAGCTTGGAACCTTGAAGGATGGTGACACCAAAGTTAAGTTCGCGGATGTTGCAGGCCAGCAACTCTACGTCTCTACGTGTCGTGCGGGGTCGATCAAAGATCTGCTACTCGAGGCTGTGATGGTGCCAAGCAGGAGTTGGTAGAGGTCGTGGACTTCCTGAAAAACACTTCAAGGCACCTCGACTGGAAGGGAGATGTGCGAGTCGGTCAAGCACTCTGCAGGTATTCTGAGCTTGGTGCCAAGATCCCGAAGGGTGCTTTGTTGGTGGGTCCACCTGGCACCGGAAAGACACTGCTTGGGAAGGCCGTGGCGGGAGAGGCCGGAAGATTGATAAAGATTGCCAGCAGCACTCTTTGTCACGATTCGAATGCGGAGCGTGATCAGCACTCAGGCTGGTGTGCCATTCTTCAGCATTTCAGCCTCGGAATTCGTTGAGATCTTTGCGGGCATTGGTGCGTCCCGCGTGCGTGACCTCTTCGAACAGGCCGGATGATACAGATAGTGCAAGTCTTCTTCAACACATCCGTTGTCAGCTTGTGCTTCAAGCCGCAGGCCAAGAAGTCTGCACCATGCATCATCTTCATTGATGAAATCGATGCAGTGGGCCGCCAGCGGAGCGCTGGCTTCGGCCAAGGAGATGGTCACGAGGGTTCGTGTGTCCGGAATAGTTGCCGCGAAAGTGCTGCAGGCAACGATGAGCGTGAGCAGACGGTGAATCAGTTGCTGACAGAGATGGACGGCTCCTTTTCTTTGACAATGTAAGCTCTCTTGTTTTGACCTTTCTTCTGGGTGGGCCTGGGCAGGGCCGAAGTCTTCAGTGAAATTGTCACACTCGGAACTCCTGAGTCACCAAGGCTTCGAGAGCAACAAGGGGGTAGTTGTCATTGCAGCAACGAACAGGGCTGACATCCTGGACCAAGCTTTGGTGCGACCTGGACGTTTCGATCGTCAAATCCAGGCCTACTCCGGACGTCGCCAGGGATGTTAAAAGCTTGGTCTTTGCACAAGCCTGGACATGCTGTACTCGTGGGTCAGGGATGCTATTCAGGTGGATCCTCCGGACGTGCAGGGCCGCACCGAGATTCTCAAAGTCCATGCCAAGGATTCTCGACATCGAGCTATTGAATCCGGGGACAGCATGTCTTTGCATGACAGTGAACGCCCACCTCCGAAGGACAAAAACCTGGCACCTGGTGTTGACCTTTCTGCGATAGCTCGGCAGACACCTGGAATGTCGGGTGCCGACCTTGCGAATCTCTTGAACGAAGGCACCTGCCACACGACTGTCCAATGACCACTGTGTGCATTTCATCTCGAGCTCGTGTGTTGGTCAGGTGCCATCCAGGCAGCCAGATCGAACAAAGCCGAGTCTTGCCAGCCTCACCACCCTCACGATCAGAGCATCACTGTTCAAGTGCGGTCGCAAAGAGTAGGACTTTTGTCGTGAATTGCCCAAGGAGATTGACTCTGACGATATCTTCAATGCTCTGGAACGCATCTCCATTGGCCTCGAGAAAAAGGCAGCGATGTCCGGTGCACCAAAAGTGCAATTCCCAGTGCTGGACTCCAGGATGCTGTCATGTCCGATCAGAAGAAGAAGCTGGTTGCTTACCACGAAGCCGGCCATGCCATCTTGGGTGCCTTGATGAGACCTTGGCTGGAACGAGAGTTGTCCAGTCCCCAAGCAAACAGCCAAGTTGTTTCTCTGTGGTCTGGAAGTTCCAGGAACGACTACGACGTTGTGGCGAAGATCAGCATTGTCCCGCGCGGGCCAGCTGGTGGGGTCACCATCTTCATGCCATCTGAGGATCGCTTGAACTCAGGTGCAGGATCGGACTGCAGGTGGCTGTGAGAGTTCGGTTGCACTCCTGGAAGGCCTCTACTCCAAGGAGTTCTTGGAGAATCGAATGTGTGTGGCACTGGGTGGTCGCCTCGCAGAGGAGATCATCAATGGTAGAGACAATGTCACCACAGGCTGGTACCATCAGGAAATGACTCTTACTCCATTTTGGCACGCCTGGTGCTGCCACACTGGTGTTTGCAGGTGCCTCCAACGACTTCCAACAGTGCACGCAGGCCACAGTGGAAGTGGAAGAAATCCCACATCGTGGGTGTGTGGGTCTCTTCGTCGGCGCCTTTGCAGGTGGCCAAGACGATGGTGATGCAGCTTGGGATGTCGCCGGAGATTGGCCAGCGCCTCCTGGGAGGACAGCAGCAGGGTGGGCCGTTCATGGGGCGCAGCCCGTCTGCAGACTCTCGGGGTTGCCGCCAGATGCAAAGCGGTGGACTGGATTGAAAGGAGCGATTGCATCTTTTGACCGAGGTGATTTTATGGGTGGGGGTGCGCCACCAATATCCCAAGACTCTCGACGGCAAAGCTCTTGCTCGCCATCTTGCTCTGTGATTTGTATGCATTCTAGGCCTCAGGCCTAGGCCTGTCTTGGATTACTTTTGAGGCTTTGAAGCAAACGGTGGATGCGGAGGTGAAGCGCATCGTGGACGAACAGTACCAGCGCGGCATGAAGCTGCTGAGGGTAGCTCAACTTCAAGAGGCTCTTCTGCCCATAGTAACTACCAGACGCGGACGCGCGCTGCAGGACAACATGTACCTCCTGGACACCCTGGCAAAGACTTTGATGGAGGAGGAAAAGGTCTCCGGCCATTGCCCCAGCAGGTCTTCTGGTCTTCGAGAACTCTCTGGAACTAACATGAGGAAAAATAAAGCCAGGTGATCAGCTGATGAAGATGATCAACCAAGCGGCTGCTGAAGGACATGCACTTCCGGTTAGTGGGATCTGCAGCCCTGTTAATTGTTTGACGAAGAGGCAAGCTCGTTATGGGCAACAGCAAGATGGCCGTGGCAGCCTTTGTCGGCGAGAAGGTCCCTCACCCGGGCCTTCCTCCGTACGTTTCAGAAGGACCTAGTCTTCTAGATGCCAGCTGCGCCGAATCGCAAAGCGCGGCATCGGTTGCACACCAGAGGTCGAAACGATCACAGATGGAACCCACGGGAAAAACGCGTGTGCGAGCCGCCTCGGCCGCAATCGGGCGAATCTGCAGAAATGACTGCACCTGCTAGCTTTTCGTCGTTCCCCCAAGGCATCCAGACAAGCCCATGATGTTCGCTTGTGCAGAGCCAAGTTGTGGCTTCACTGTGGCCTCAAGTCGGTCGAGCAGTTTTTGCAAACTTGTTTTCAACGCGTGATTTGCAGGGGGCCGGCTACGAGAGATTGTGGCTGAGTACGCAGAAATTCCGGAGAAGTTAGCTGCCGTCCTAGCCTCAAAGCCAGCTGTGCTCACGTCTGGGCTTGTGTCCAGTTTTGCCCGACAGAGTGTACTAGCTTGAGCGCCATATCTTGGACGAGGACCGCGATCAGTGCTGTGCTCATCAATCTTCATCATGTATGTGCAGGTTGCAACCGATCGGGCGAAATGCTAAGCTCCGGACATTGGTGAGGTGATGTGACGCAGAGCTTCATTGTACATGGATCAAACTGAGGAGTAATCTCCTCAAGAGGGTCGTCTGAATTTAAGATTATTATTAAAATCATTTAAACTTGAACGTCGGGATCTCATGTGGGCGACTCTCGTGGGTGGTTACTGGCTAATTATGCAGGCATGGTTTGACACAATCTTCTGAAGGGGAGGCGAGAGTTGACGGTGACGGTCCGGCATTGCTTTTCCATGTTGTGTGTTAGCACAGCAGAGGCAGCAATTGATGCATAGTCGGCCTCATCACAAGCTTGAGGCAGGTGCTGATCTCGAGACCGAGTCAGCAGGTTCTATTCGCAAGCTGTAATCTCGAGATCATCGCGAATTTTCGAGGGTGTCAGGCCAGGACAGGACCAGTTTTCTCACTTGGCCCTCGAGCACCGACTCACCGCTGCACTGGCACTCAATACTCCTTGACACCCTTTGTTGCAGTCTCCAGCCAGTCCCGACAGAGATTGAGTGCTGCGGCATATATTTTGTTCCATAGACCATCGTCCCAGCGTGCATTCGCATTTGTCCGGCACGTGGAAAAAACCCTGCTAGACAGTGTCGGAGCTCATTCCAATCCATTCCAATCGCGTGTGTCTGTGCCTTGGCAGGTAGCCGCAGATGACCTGGAGTCTGCCAGGCTTCAAGCAGCCTTGTGGAGACACTTAGATCCAAACAAGGCCTGCTCAGTTGTTGGGGGAGTCAAGCTGATATCAAAGAGAAGCATGCAGAGGTGGGTCATACAGATCTGAAAACCGTGACTCTTTTCTTCCACGTGCTGATGGGCGCAGCTGGGCACTCACAGAGCGTGATCCGTTGCAGCATGTGATGCGAGGGGATCGCTGAACTGGGTTATACTTTGAGACGACCACCTCTCAGCAGTTCATATTATACAGGGAGGGCTGATTTCAGCTGTGGAACACTCAGAAAAACGTCCGCTCGGCCGATAGGCGGCCTTGCGAGCTTGCCCGGACACAACGGCGGCTTGAAAAGGAGCCCGGGCCCTCGACAAGAAGAGAAGAAACGGGCGAGGTCGAGCGGTGCGGGCACACACCGGCATGACGAGCTCTGAATATCGAACTCTGTGTAGCGAACTGGTCGGAGACTGCAAAAGAACAAGCCACATGACCGTCAGAACCACAAGTAGGCACCAGCGCCTTCCTCAGCAGCCGAAACATGAGTCATTTGCCTTGGCGTGCATTGTTTTAACATCGCCGCTCGATGCTATTATTCGCGCAGACCTGCTCTTATTATATGGAAAAACAGTGCGCCACAGAAGGGCACTGCATGAACATAAGCCTTCCTGTGTCGAGCTTGCCTTTCCATGACTTAGGTCCTGCACAACCGAAAGTCGGACTGCAGCGTGGCACGCTCCTGTTCAACGCAAGTTTGGTTTCGCGCTCCCAGTACTAGAGCAAAGCGAGATTAGAATACGAACAATCCCCTCCAAGCAACAAGAAATAGCCAACACAAGCAACAACAGTTCAGACCCGAAATCTGGGATTTTGCCCAACCCTTTAGCACATGAACAATCCGTCTGACAAGCTGAAAAACACCGACGGACCAAAGTTTCCGGAATCCAGAATCCGGGAGTAGTTTGGATTTCATTTTTTTTGCATTTTCCTGGCCTTTGAAACCAAGCTCGGCCACTCTTGGCTGCACTGCAAAGCGCATGTCACAATCAAGTTCTTCAAGCTCGCCATCACTCACACTCCACGTACTAGAAACTGTGAACTCTCCCTGTGTGTTGTTTCGGCCCGTCGAAGCGAGGCTCAGGCTGATCTTCAATAAGCACGTTTTCTTACTCCCGTCTCGTAGTTGACCTCCGTTGAGCTTGCAGTTTTCAGGGTTTTGGGACTGGGAAAACGCGGATGTTTAAGCTTTAACCGGGCCTAGCAGATACACGATGTCATGAACCGAAGCTCTTGGGCCGAGAGTTTCGCTGGAAGTTGACATCCTGGGCGTTCTGGTAATTCACCCGGGCGCCTCCGGGGCTGCATGGAGAGAACTCGAAGTTTCATGGACGCGTCCTGCAACCCCCAGCTTGATATGCAGCTGTGGAACACGTTTAAAACACTCGAAATCCAGGTTTCGCTTTACACGGCCAGGGTTGCGGATGGTCTCAACTTCTATCACGGTTTTCAGATCCTCCACTGCCCTCAGCATACCCTTGCACGTTGAGTGGTCCTCCAAGGTTGACGATGCAGTTCAGAATGCGGGCAGTGCCATGGAGGCGTTGCGCAAAGCAATGCGTAGCTGCTTCAAATCAAACGTAGGTTTCGCAGGTGGAAAGTCAGGTGCCTCACTGGCAACATGCGAGCCTGCTCCGGGCAGGAGCCGGGAGCTTCACCCAGCAAGTCGACTGCAAGTGAAGGCGACGGGTGATGCACAGAGCAACCGCTTCCTTGTTCTCTTGACAGAGGTGGGAGTATCGCCCTGCAATCCATCAATGAAGAGGGCTTTGCAGAGGCAGTTGACAAGGACATCGGTTGGATTTGTGCCATGTCCAAATTCCTTGGATGCCCAAATTCTTGACCTCCAAGGGGGACTCTGTCCTAGCAGCATTGAGCAAGACCGCCGGAATTCAGGAAGATGAAGGCTGAGCCTTGGGTGCTGGGGAGAGTGCTCACTTTGGATCCAATCTTGTATTCCCTGGCCAGACCGGCGGCTGGTAGAATTGCTGCTGCGATTCGACCCGTTGAGGCTGCGAACCGAGCAGGCATCTCAGCATTGTTGCGCTACGGTTGTGCGACACGGAGCGCATTCGTGTTCTTTTGTACAAGCCGCCGAAGCGATCCTGGCCCATGCAGCTCTGATGTGCAGAAGCGCTTGTTGCCAACTACAGTAGCACTTTGAACAAACGATAAACGAAAGCAAAACAGAAGCAAACTCTCCCTTTCGCTGTTTGACCCAGGTTCCAGCCACTGTTGCTGCACCGTATGCACTACCAGGGTATGGCCGCTCAGGCAGAGCAGGACCGGAAATTCTTTCCGTTGGGGTTGTTGCATGCGCATGCAACAGCATTGACTAGAGGAGCGATCACCTAGGAAGGAGGAAGGGCCCAACGCACGACGCTCAGCTTTGGCGAAGTGAAAGCATTGATTTCTTGTGGGACTTCACGCTTAGCGTCTTTGTCTGCAAGCAGTCTAAGTCGGAAGTTGGACTCCCAACAATGCCAAACTGCTGGCTTTTCTGAAGCAGGTGGTCAACCCTGTTATTGATGCGCAATCTCGTTCTCTGGCCGAGAAGTTGCTGGAGAAGCAAAGAAGCCTGGCAGCTCAGGAGAAAAGAAGTGCGTTGACGGTTGCAGCTGACACGCTCAGGTGAGTCTGGAAAAGCCACACACGCAGAGCTTCTTTTTTGGCGCCACAAGCAAGTTCAGGCTTCTATTGCATGCGATGTGGCATGTGCATGTATCGTGTGAGATCGCACTACGCCAGGCGCGAAAAGAATCCTTGAGAAAGCAGCTCAGTCAGGAGGAGGCAAGGCAAGAGCCAAGCAGGAGAGTGGCTGGGTCGCTGGGGTTTGATCTCAGGAAAAGGGTTGCACCTTCCGACCGAAGTGCAATCCGTCCAAGTCCGGACCTCGCAGAGCATTTCGGAGCGTTGGGAGCCTCAAAGCTCCGAGGCCGAAGGACGGACATGTCGAGATACAGACACCGCCGGGCAGCAGCCGATCAGAGGCGAAACCGTTGCTGTGAGCGGTCTGGCAAGTGCGGCAAGTGCCTTTGAATGGGTCGGCGCCGGATGCGAAGTCTAATAAGGCGGCTTTGTGGCTTTGCTGCCGTCCTCAGAATCTTAGAACAAATCCAACCAGCTGAGCACATGCACACCATCATTCTGTACTGCCCCGTACTTCTTCGGAATATAGCCATTTACCACCCTTCTTCCGACTCCTTTCGCCTGACTCGTGCGTCATCCCGGAGCGGCATGTGCACGAAGAATGGTGGGTCTTCTTCTTGTGCAACTGTCTAACATGAAACTACATGCCCCACTCGTCCGCACTGGCCTGCGATTGCTCATGCAGCTTTACGGCTGCAACAAGCCTTGCGGCACTACAGCACAGTACCAACCCGCAGGTTTCAGGTTGGTGCAGGGCAAGCTTCCGCAGTCGTCAAATGTCCTTTCCGTTGTTGTCCAGCAAATCTCAGATATCTCAGGTCCTGAGCCGCCGCGGCCAGATACCAGCAATACCTAGTAAGGTGAATCTTGGAGTCTCAGCAGAGGGCCACCAGACATCAGGAAAGATAATAAACACGAGTACACTGGTCGTCTACCGACTGCGCGAAGACCGGCCAGTGTGCCGAAAATGGAGATCTCCTTTCATTGCTCCGGAGGTTCTGTATGCTCGAGGTCTTGCTGATAAAGAACGGCGGAAGGCCAAGGCAGGACAAGAAGTGCAGAAAGCGGGCCAGTAGCTTGTTGAACTCCTGACCCAAGCCTCTGCATCCAAGCAGGTTCTTGAGAGCGAGAAGGCCAGAAGCACAGCCGAGGCTCAGTCGTGGGTGGAAGATCCTGCTGTATTCGTTCGTGGTTTTTCAGAGCTGTGACTTGTTACAGCCGGATCTGGCATCGTGTGGCCTCATGGCTTTCCTAATTCCAATTCAGTTGGAAGCTGCCAGAGAGCAAGTTAAGGGCTTGCCACGCGCCAGGCGCGAGGATGCACATTCCGACCAAATCTCTCCAAGAGCGTCAAGAGGCGTCTGACCTATGCAATGTGCATGTCACTACACGTCTGTTGGGAGCTACAAGCCTTTGGACTGTTTTGATTGGCCGGCTGTCCAGTTCGTTGCGAAAAGATACTGACGTTGCTACTTGAGTTGGGGATTGCTTTGTCGTGCTGACGCGCCATTTCAACGTAAACGTCGCAGAAGCTCCAAGCACTTTCGTGGCTGAACAGAGCACCAGCTGGATCAACGGAGTCGCGAAAAAAGACGTCACTGATTGAGCAGCGTGTACCTTATGGCCTTAGATGAAGGACGTTTGTGTTGAATATTCGCTTCGGACTGGATTCCCTGTGTTTGTAGGCTTGTGCTTGAGTTCACTGGTGTGTTTTCGATGAGGTTGTCGCACACCGTGGCGAGGCCGACCCCTGTCAACCTCGGCTGAGTCCCGCTCGTTGTCGTCGTCATCGTCGTCTCCTTGTGTTTTGTCGTCCTCCCACCATCCTGACTGGTGGGATGGATGAGGCCAAGGCCGATGTAGGCATGGCAGCGAAGTATTCTGAGCAGTTAGTCCAAGCGTTTCGAATTCACCGAGTCCCGCAGGCAGAAAAGCCAGGATTTGAGGCTTGAGGTAAGCCGCCTCGGGGAAGCAAGGGCAAGATTGACTTGCCGCTCACAAGCAACAGCACAAGTGGCCGCAGTGAAGGCTAAGTCGTAGAAGCGGAAGTGGTAGTCAGCCGATAAGAAACAGCAGCTTGTTGCGGAGCCGGTCTCCAACCAGCACCGTGCAAACACGCCGATCCAGAGCGAAGGGACAAGGTACGAGGCCACCCCGTGCAAATAAAGTGGTTTCAAGCCAATGTGCCAGGACCTCCACCCCTGTCTTCTGTTTCTTTGCTCGGCCGTGCTGCTCTCTTCGGCTATCCGACTGCTGCTTGCTGGCTCGTGCTGCTGTGGTCGTGCTGACAGAGCCGTGCTTCGGACGGCACATTGCAGCCGAGCAGGATTCCGGATCGTGTGTCTGGCGCAAAAACTCAGAAAGTAATTTGGGGTGTGCGCAGACCACTTGCTACCTCCGGCGGAGGGAGAGCCCATGAGTGATCAATAGTTTGATTGAAAGCTCATGAGCTTGCGCCGCAGTTACCACAAGACTCAAAAGACTACGCAGCAGGCTCGCATTGCCGGTCCCATTTTGCTTCAGACTATCTGAGCATCCTTTGCACAGGTGCCTCGAGGCTTCTATGAAACGCGCCAAAGAATACGAGCTGCCTATGAGATCCGTGAAAAGGTGTTGCAGCAACAGGAGGCTGCGTGGACTTTTGAAGGGTACGCAGCGCCCGGTTTGCGGTGAGTTTCCCATTGGTAGGACCGCATGGCCAAGATCGAGCAGACGGTCCCTTACCAGGCAAGGCGTTCAGCAAACCTTGACAGCTTCTTGCGGTTTTCACCTCTCAAGCAGGTGTCTGGGACGACTCCAGCCCCTCTGGTTGCTGTCTCAGTTACATGTTGGTGTTGATCAACGGGGATTGTTCCGTTTGTGGCTTGCTGGGTTGAGCTGCCAAGGTTGGCAAGAGCCCACTTCCATCCACAGGCTACGTCCGCATGATTGATCCCGCTCCTGATAGTCGGCCTTTGCGGGGCCATCAAAGAAACATATCGACTCTCAAGAAATGCATACATGGACTTCCACGGTTTGAGTGTGCCAGGCAACTCGCCCGGCCTCTCTCCTGTGCCTGAGGCGGTCTGATATTTTACTTGCTATCCTCTGGCTTTCTTGCCCATCTGTTCCACAGTGTTTCACAGCTTCTTGCCAGTCCCCGGCGAAGCCTGCGCCCCAGCTGGCCACGCCTGGCCCGCAAGAGCTACGGACGATGACGAGACGTCTGCTTTCTGCAGGGATCGGCGACCAGGTAAGGCTGGTGCAACAGGCCCGTTCACGGGTTCCTGGCGATCTATGCAGATCTATGCAGACATGTATTTCGCGTTTAAAAGAGCCGGACGAGTGGAGGGCACACAAGCTTCACACCGCCGCGGCGAAGCGGCAACCAAGCCGACGGTTCGGAGGCAGGATTTTGGGCCGGCGATCCTGCAGGCCCAGACACGCACATCCTTTCAGCAGGAGGGCACACGCACCGAAGCCGAAGGCCAGCACACAGATGTCAGATTCACGCATTTCATAAATCGATGTGCCGGTGGCAGACCAAGGAGGGGGTCTCGATTCTCAGCCAGCCGCTGGAGATGAAGGCTGAAAACGGTCAATGGCATGGTGTTTGCGTTTCGGATTAGACCTGAAGCGGCCAGGCAATGCCGAAGGCAATGCCAGTCCAAAGGAGCGGGCTCAGGACATGCGGCCCAGCCACGGCTGTAAGAAGTTCACCTTCGTTCTCTACTTCATGCGACCTTGATCATCCTCCGTCAGCCCCTGTTCGGTCAGAGGTTGTACCTTCGTCCGTCCGTTAGATAGCACCTTTTTACAGCCATAGGTTTGTTACAGGTTACCGACCTGACACCTCCTGACGTCCGCCTCTCTCCTTAGCAGCGAAAGTTTGGCCAGATCTGCTTTTGGTAGAGGTTCTCTTCCACATCAGAAAGATGTTTGCAGGTTACTCACATCCTCCGACAGCCACCTCCGCATGTCGGATCCCAGTCAGGCAGAGGCAGAGTCTCAGAGGTTTTCGTTTATGGATCACCTTAGTCAAAGCCTCGCCGTGTCACATATTCTCTCGTGTTTCATACAGGTTGCAAACTACCGTGATTACAGATGACGTCGGTCAGATACAGGTCTTAGTTTACCGGCATCCTCCGTCGGATGCATTGCCCCGTCAGATGCAGGTTGTAACTTCCCGATATCATCCGCCAGATGCTTTCAGGAGGATATTCCACCAGATGCGCCGCCCATGCTTTATGCGACTTCGGCTGCATGTATAGGCATGTCGCGTTGCTATACTGACAAGATCCTCGAGAGCAGTCGCTGCAGGTGGATGTGAACATTACTCAGGGGCAGCCGGCCGAAAGGATCGTTCTGTATCAGGCAGACATCATGCCGCGGCGCAGATCTGAAACGCAGCCGACGTATTGATTTTACGATGACAGGGGCAGAACGTTAGTGAAGTGGCTGCCGAATTTGCGGCCAAGCACGTTCTGACACCAGTGCCTTGACGGAAGGGTTCGAAGAACAAGCAGGTGTCAGAGCTGGTTCCGCTTTCTGAACTATTGCCATCCAAGGCCTTGGCACAGAAGCTGCATACGCTTCTCCGAGAGGCGCTAGTCCGCTAGTCTTTGCATTTCGGCATTCCGCAACACGGAGGGTGTGCGTGGCCTAGGGTCTTCCACGGCGTGCCTGTCTGCATCGGATGTCCCAACGCTTCGACGACTGAACCCAAACCAACAACCTCAACTTGAGATGGAAGCTCCCTTGCGCTTCGTGCCAGGTTGTGCTGAAGCAGGAGCTGCAAAATCAAGCGAGGTAGCTGCCACAGTCAGCTGGCTTTGATGCTGTGGGGCTTCGATTTCGTGAGTCAGCTTGTTGGAAGTTGGAAATGACCAATGGCCTGTTGCCAGCAATCCAAGCTCCAGTCGGTCCATTGCCTCCATCCCTCTGACTGTCTTCCAAAGCCTATTGCTACTTTTCCAAAGTGTTTTTTGATAGAAAAGAGTACCGCCTGCTCAGAGGCTTGGGGCCTGCGCAGTAGCTTGCGCTTGAAATGCGTGGAATAGGCGGTTCCAGCTGAACTGCCGGAGGCAACAAGCCTACCGAGTCATGTGGTAGGGCTTTTCATCTAGCCCTTTGCCAATGTATCTTTCGCCAGTGTTAAAACACTGATGCTCGGCACTGATCAGAAAGGCGGAGCCACAGAACATGATTTACCGCGGAGATGATTTCGTTCCACATGTGCAGATACTGTCGGCCTGCTCTCTGATCGTTGCGGGAATTGCGGTTTGGAGAAGTTAACACCGTCTTTCGCAGCTACACGGACAAAGCTTATGTCAAATTGCATCGAAGTTGACTCGTCATCGCTAGTTACGCTCGTTTCGCATTGTTCTCCGACGAAACCTCCTTTGAGGGCACATCTGCGGGGCACGAGGCTTAGTTGTTCGAGTGACAGGACGAGCGGCATCTGAGACAAAAAAGAGCAAAAGGCACTACACCGAAGTCAGTCGAATGGGTTTCGGTCTCGGTCCTGACGTGGGCAGATGTGTCGGACTTGTCGTAGTCGGCTCAAGAAGTGAGGCAAGCGGCAAGGAATTCAAGGAAGGGATCGGACAATGCTGCCTAGCAGGAGAAAGTGATCCGTTCTGAGCTGATACGCGTCTGTTTGAAGGGACTGGCAAGCGAAGGGCCGCAGTGTAGCTCTACACCTTCTGGACCACTGCCATGGCGACCCAAGTCTTGGAGTGTGGAGGGGTGGTAACGTGAGACACTCAGGTCCCCTGGTTTCCTCGCAAGCTTAGCCAGCTTAGCCTCTTAGTTCTCAGCTTCGAGGTATCAATTTCTGTGTGGTCGTGAGATTGCGCGCAAAGATCGCTTCGCAACACAGATGGCTAACTACTGCTACTTGGCCTCGTCCTCGGTGTTTTCTCACACCAGACGCTTCAGATTTTGTCTGTCCTACCATCCTTGCCCTCTTCTCGCCCTCTCGCCAGCTCTTCTCACCTTGTCCCCCTCCTCCCCCTCCTCCCCTCCACCCCCTCTCCCCCTCTCCCCCTCTCTCCATCTCTCCATCTCTCTCCCTCTCTCTCTCTCTCTCTCTCTCTCTCTCTCTCTCTCTCTCTGTTTCTGTCAGATGATCTTTCTCTCTCACTTTGCCACTCTCTCTG